GTTTGTCAAACTATGATCCGAGGATGTGTGCCGATGTCCTCCATCTCACATATGCGGATGATGATGTGGGCAACATTGAATCATGTCTTAGTGAGGACCTATTGAGTGTTGATACTTGGTTAAACGCAAACAAACGTACTCTTAATATGACTAAATCCGAATGTATGCTGATAGGATCTGTCCAAAGGCCCTAACTGCTTCCCCATCAGTCACAATGAACGGTACTCGGGTGGCTGAGGTTTTGCAGACTACAAAATCACTCCGGCGGTGTAACAACTGACGAAAAACTCAGCTGGAATTGTTACATCGAAAAACCAACCCAAAAGATCGCTTCTGGAATCGGAGCCATGAAACGTGTTAACTGAGGAAGTGGTTCCCATCCGACCTTGCATCCAATTATATAGAACCTCGCCTTGACTACTGTAGTAATGTTTGGGGAATCTGTGGGATAACCTTACAAGACAAGCGGCAAAAATTGCAGAATAGAGCAGCTTGCGTTCTGACATTATCAAATTATGACGCTGACGCTGGCCGAATGGTTAGAAATTTTGGGGTAGAAAATTTTGACTGCTGGCGGAACACACAAAAGGGCACCTTGGTATTCAAATGTCTACATGGATTAGCTCCGGACAACTTAACTTCGAAATTCTCTAAATGCAATACAATCTACAATCTGTGGGACTCCGAGAACAAACTTAATGTTCGATTACCACGCAAAAATCATTTCAAAAATAGTTTTAGTACTTCTTTTCAGGACAAAACCCTCAACGTGAAACGGTGGCCTGGAGTAACAACCTTGAAGCGTATGTCGAACTCAACTGAAATTAATTCAAAACAAAGTGTGATACAAGTGAAAACGATCTTGAGCCATGGTTAAGAAAAAGTTTTCAGGCTGACGTTTTGAACGTTGTCCCTTCGTCAGAGCGAATGGAGGAATTGTGTGTTGTGTGAGTGTTTATATGCAGAAAATGGAGCTGCACCGTTGGTGTAGATATGGTGACGGAAAAACACGAATAAATTAGTTGAATAAGAAGCGCCCGTTGATACCATGGGGATGAAGAGTGCCGATTTGAAAGATAAATTTTTCTTTCGGCCCGCTGCTCTGAGATCTGTGGATTGAAAAATTCTGAGGAAGAGTTAGTGGTGGTAGCAATTAAAAGCTAAGTCGGTGGGAGAGTGTAACAGGGTAATTAAGTATATGATTTTCATATATTGAGAGTCATTATTAACCGCTTGGAAGGTTTATTTCCATCCAACATAATAATCGGCTCCCATTTGGCTTGTTAGCTTAGTTGGTAGAGCGCTGCACCGGTATCGCAGAGGTCATGGGTTCATATCCTGTACGCGTCTGAATCTTTTTTTTATGGATGAAAGCAATAAGGGACAAAGGAAACAATGAGTTCCCGTTAGAAAAAAAAACGGTAACTCCGTAGTTTTTAATCGTGGTAGGAGTATGGGAATATTGTGGGAGAGAAGGGCACGAAGTACTATTTCCAAAACGAGAGCGAGTGTTTCATCGGGGTATCCAAACAACGAGTAACAAATGAAAGCACGAGGCTGTAGGCCGAGTGCTTCTATCGTTTGGAGGTGTTTGGATACCCCAATGAGACACGAAGCACGAGTTTTGGAAACAACTTCTCATGATCAATCTTAAAGAAATAATAAAAAAAGACTTCAAACTAGAGTTGCTTGGTGTCTAACATTCCTTCCTCGATAGTTTGAATATCAACGATGTTTTTTACCGGCGTAATTATTTTGTATTTGTGGTGCGATTTAATTTATTCTGGGATGTGAAAGTTGCTGCATTTACAAGTTGTCGTTCAGTCAGGATGTAAACCGCAACAAAGTCGTTCGAGAGATTTCGGCAGCCTAAAAGTGTGGAGGATGAGAAGAAAAGTGTTGATGATGTAGTACCGAAATCAGCAGCTTATAAAACCAAATGGTCGTGTAAGGTTTTCGTGGAACGGTAACAGAATCGATTTGTGACGTCCTGTACTGTGGACCCCCGTGGCCTTTTTACCACGAGACTTTGAAGGAGTACAAACTTTGGACACAGCCATTACAGATATTTCTGCATGCAGTGTGAACTGGCTGTCGAAGTTCGTTCAAGAAGTAAGCAACTCTTCTGGGGAACGCTATCCATCCCGTTCGTTGTACTCATTATTTGCGGACTGAAGCGCCACCTTTCTGATGTAAATGTAAGTGCTGTATTCAACCCTTTGGACATGTCTGACCGAATGTGTCAAGTTTAATGATTGTGAGGTAAATGTTTTTGTAAATGGGCGTAAATAAGAAAATGAAGCATTGTTAAAGTAAGGTTACTTGTGAGTAATAAATATTCATTGATTTTGTACAAGTTGTCATTGTGCATATTTTATGTGGTATAAATCACTCCCACTGGAGAGTGGTAAACTGTTTTTCATTGGGTATCCAAACACATGCTCGTGATGTGGTATGCATCTTGTGGTTGGTAGTTGAACTCATGAATTAGTAACGAGTTTGAAAAGGTTATCGAAGCCTACTGCTATACAAAAAATAGGCAGTTAAGACTGCATGTGGCTACCGCTGTAGCACAATTTTTTATAGCATTGAAAAGAACTAGAGGTTGTTTGATGAAGTTAGTGTTACAAAAGATTTGTCTCGCGTGCAAAACAGAAAACCTGCCGCATCCCACATATTTATGGGTATCCTGCTCCGCAAGGGAAAGATGATTCAACCCCTAATCAAATGGCAACAAATAATCATATGAACAAAAACAATAATAAAAATAATAATAATGATAACAGTAGCGATAATAATGATTATAATAGTAATATTAATGATAATTTATAGTTACTAGCTCAAGAACCACAGTGTTCCTCTGTAAGTCTATCCTTTAGGCTCCAATAATGAGAAAACTAGGCTTCCTGTTAATCGTAAATTATTTTCTTATTTCATAGCAATTCCATTTTTGTGAGACTTATTGCATACAACAAGGCATTCCGCGTGGTAGGATATGCCGTCATTCCACCGTTCCATTATTCCATCGAGGTTCACCCTGTTGAACTCAGGGACCTTGCTCGCTTCGCAAATTTAGAGGCTCTTTGAGCATTTGTCACTGATTGAAATGGTAAATGCTCTCTTTACGAATTGATAAATTTTTCTTCAAAGTTTCCATGATGTGCAGATCAAACCTATTGAAATATCTGCAAAGAAAAGTTTTTTCTGTTTCAATCACGTGTCAGAGACGCCACTATGAAATTATTTCGAGATGTTTCTCATATTTTGAAGTGTCAGGTTGGTATTAAACTTTTTCTACCTTGCTTCCGTTTCACCTTGGGGGGAGGGGTACGGCAACTCGTAGGCTACGACGCAATTAACCTGAAAGTTAATAGTTCACATGGTTTCCTCCACAAACCTGTTACAAAGGCGTAACCTCGAGGTTTTAAAATTGGCTTACAAGTTTTTCAGAACCTTCTTGGCCTAAAAACCTAAACCTAGGTCAATGCATACTCATTGTGGACAGAATTGTCCATTAAGTCTTAAAAGCATATGGTCAATATTTTTGCGTGACACAAAACCTATGTGCAGTGAACATAATGTATACCGTGTGTTACGAAAATCATGCCATACACCATATTTTGCTGACCTCTCCCTGGGGAGAGGTCAGCAAAGATCAGTAAAGAGGTCACACACGCTGTGACAATACAATACAATAAAATGAAACATGAAATAAATACACTTAAGATAGTAAAAGATAATCGTAGCCTATTGTGAAACAAACGAATAAGAGTTTACGGCGGAGAAATAGACCTGCTTTACAAACGACGTCCGTAGAATGTCAATGCTCATTCCGAATATAGGCCCCATAAATCGAGTCCACCGCTAATCGCGGCTCCCTACCACAGTCATAACAAGTAAATTAACTACTGCATCAAGAAACAAGAAGATTTCCACCGAGGAAAGGGATTTTTCCACTTCAATATGTTCAAAACCGTCCATACAATTTACTACAAAGGAGACACTGTACCTTTAAATATCCTCTTCCTTTGAATGAAACCTTTTGAGATGTCCACTAGGTCAGCGGTCGTTTTAGTGAAACTACTAACCCCACGAAATGGCGGCAGTGGCGAACTGTGTCACATTTCTTTACAATATTTTCGTGTGTAAGCCCTTCACATGATGTTTATGGTATATCTCGGTATCATAGATGGATTGAGAGAATTTAGAAGTACTGAAAATGACCACACTTGAGCTGTACACGAAGGTAACTGGCAAGGGCTTTTCTGTTGATGACAAGTGGTACCTGGTGCAAGTTTCCCGATGAACAACTTTATATTCACCGGCTTTCCTTCTTTCTCTAGGGAGCTAGAGTATGGATCCCGCACGAACAAGTTATATGGATTGGCGGAGAATTAACTAAAGATTTAAAAGAAGATGGAATCTTGGAGATTGAACTCGAAGACGGAAATGTAAGTCTGAAGTTAATGTATATCATGTTCGACGTGAACTTGAGACCTTTGTAAAGTTTGACAATCGTATGTTTATTTGTAGTGAGCTCTTACGTTGGTAAATCTCACGCTCCATTTGTATTTTTATATATTTATTTTTATTTCTCCAATAGGAAATTACTCTCGATGTTTACAAGGGAAAACAGAGCCTTCCTCCGTTGAGAAACCCCGAAGTTCTTGTTGGAGAAAATGATCTTACAACCTTGAGTTACTTACATGAACCTGCCGGTTTGTACATGTCAGCAAATATCCCTTTGGTGAACGACGATGTGTTTGTTTAAACTTTTCTCAAGAATTCATAACAATTTTTCTTTGTTCTGCTTTCTTGTGAAACCCGTTGAATTCTCTTTGTTTAGTGAGGTTTCCAGTTGAGTAAGTAAATATAGTTACCAAAAATCAAAATTATATTTCGGAGTTGTTAGGTTAATTTTACTTTAATTTAATTTTTCCTTTTTTAGTGCTGTACAATCTTCAAGTTCGTTTCCTCCAATCCAATGCGATTTACACTTATTGTGGTGAGTATAAATGTATTCTCTGTGATTTCCTCGCTCGGTATTCGTAATTTTTTTGCGAAATATATGGAGGCATGTAAATATTGGTACTAAAATTTTAATAACTTCCAAACCATTTCGTGAAATTATTGGAGCGATACTAATTGCATTTGAGAGTCGTAAGATGTAATGTTTACTCGACGGTCGAAGTAGACGCTCAGCAAAACTAAAAGCAATATTGCATTTTCTATTAGGAAGAATGATTGTTTTCAATTCCTTCTCGGGTTATCTTTTGTTTTGATTTTGTTGAGCTTACAATAGGCTTTCACGCCTTTTGACATTTCCGCAATTCCCTCTGGCTAGAGAAGTGCGAGAGAAAACACAAAGCTATTTTTAAAAATGCAAATTTCTGTTACTTGCTGAATATTTAGGTTAATTCCTGTCATTTTTTTAATTACATATTTAGTTCAATGTTACTTGATTCCAGATTTTTCATGAATTTTGAAGGCAGCTCATCCAAAATGACTCTAGTTTTATTGATCAAAATAAGATTTTCTAGATTGTCAATTCTAAGAATATTAGTGTGTGTTTGATTTGCTGATTTTGTTAGACTTGCACGTGAGTGTAGCTTCATATACCCATTTTCCAATATACTTTATAATTATAAAAGGTTTCAACAAAGGCATTTTTGTGAGATTAAAATAAGTTTTCTACAGACTTGTCAGTGTAGCCATCTTCCTAATGAAAATCAAAGTGTCTATTACTTTCAATTCTAGACTATGAAGTAATTTGACATTTTGTCAAATTCCTATTACTTCCATTAGGTTAAAGGAATATGCTTGTTCAGCATCAAGACTTTTCAGAGTAGCTTGTCATTCAGCCAGATTTCATGAAATTTCGATAAAACTTGAATAAGATATTGTACCCTCTGCTTAATGTGATGAGCTACCATCATCTGCTGAACACCCTTAATTGTTGTTTAATAGTCAGGCATAATGTGTTTCTTACCCAATAAATGTACATTTTATATTCTGAATTAAATCTCAGTGATTCCCGAAGAGCAAGGTTTTGGGTATCACTAAGATAATTGTGGTTGTATCAATAGTTTCCAAAATCTTACTTAGGTGTTCATGGTCTAGTAAATGTGATGCTTAATTGATGTAAATTATAATTTGCCATGCTTTTGATAGAGACATTAATGTACAAGGTCACCTTTAAAATCCTTGCAGGTATTGTTCTGGTTGCTATCAATCCTTACCAACAGCTTCCTCTCTATGGACCTGACATCATATCTGCGTATAGTGGCCAATCCATGGGTGACATGGACCCACATATTTTTGCTGTTGCTGAGGATGCATTCAGAGCCATGGCCAGGTGATTTTAAAGGACTAGAAAAGTCAATTTGAGCCCTTGAAATTTTTTTATCAAAATCTTGAGCAGTCAAATCTATGTCAAAGGTTTGATGCAGGCTCCATAAATTTGTCTTTCCAGTGCATCCACCTAGTGGAGATTTTAATGCTGCTCTGTGGTTACCTTTTTTTTTTTTGGAAAATACTGAATAAATAGTGTCAAAGAATTCACTTGGGGAGATCTGTAAGTCAAATTGATTTCTGCAATACAGTTATGTTGATATGGATTCTTATCCAAGATAATGTAGACTCTGCTAGCATATTTGAAAATAAATTATCATGAGATTGGTTTAAACCTTTAACCCCTAGTAATGACTAGCTTGTAATTTTTCCTTACAATATCAGCCCTGAACCACACATTAAGGTCATGAGAATAAAGGAAATGATCACTTTGAACCTTGTGATTGTTAAATAAATTCTCCTTGTCAGCACCTTTTAGTTAGGAAGTTTATAGGGAACAGTATGGAAAATATTATGGAGAAAATGCATATAGATGGTAGTTAAACAGTTGCATGGGTCCTAGGGTCTAGTAAAAATAACCCACAACTGGTGCAAATCACCAGCTATTTGAGGTTGTTGGTGGGTTATGGGACACTTCCTTAATCTTCTTAGTAATAAGAAACAGTTGAACAACCACCTACTTGAGTGATAAGTCAACTAATTTTCACTGACACTAATATTTTCAGAGGCTCTTACACAAAACTAGCCAATCAGCTTACAAGAAAGGAACTACAATAAATTCTGTCTCATTTCTGTGTCACTTTTACTTGCTTTGTTCCTGATTGTACTGATTGGGTTCAATTTTGTTTACATGTTTGTGTCCTGTCATGGTATCATTAATTTTGTTTAACTGATTATAGTATTAGGGTGGGATTATAAAGCTTTTTGACAATACTGCTGAATGGCTCATGAAAATGTCTGTAATTGTATATTCTTTTTTTAGAGATGGGCTGAATCAGTCAATCATTGTCAGTGGTGAAAGTGGTGCTGGGAAGACAGTTAGTGCTAAGTATGCAATGAGGTACTTTGCATCAGTGGGAGGGGCCTCTACAGAGACACAGATTGAAAAGAAAGTCTTGGCATCCAACCCTATTATGGAGGTAGAACAGCTTATAACTTGTTTAATTGGTTTAATACCATAGGTGCCAACCAGTTACAGTGGCATACTAACACATGATAATGATTTTCGAGGCTGTCTATTTTTACAGGCCATTGGAAATGCTAAGACAATACGGAATGACAACAGTAGCCGATTTGGAAAATACCTCGAAATATCTTTTGACAAGAACTATCACATCATAGCAGCCCACATGAGAACCTACTTGCTGGAGAAATCTCGAGTTGTATTTCAAGCTCCTGATGAAAGAAACTACCATGTATTCTATCAACTTTGTGCTGCATGTGATACTCCTGAACTCAAAGATCTTAGACTTGGTGAGTCAGAGTTGTCAGCTTACTCACTAGCTGGATAATTTCCACAGTGTTAAAATGGCTTGGTTGTGTGAACTTTGAAAAAAATTGCTCTATCAAGCCACTTAGTCCATTTACAGATTTTTTTCTAACATCTTCAATTTGCTTTCAGCACACCAAGACAACTTTTACTACTTAAACCAAGGAGAATGTCCTTATGTTGATGAGGTGGATGATGGTGAGGGGTTTGAGGAGATGCGAGAGGCCATGGATCTGGTTGGAATCATGAATGATGAACAGCTGATGATATTCAGAATCTTGGCTGGTATTCTGCACATAGGAAACATTGATATTCAACCAGCCAGTGAGGAAGAAAGTACAATCAATGTAAGGCTCTGCTCAGTATTCTTTACATTGGTCATTTCAGTTATTTTAGGGCCTTTCCACACCAGCGAAAAAAGTTGTTTATTTGGACAAATTTTCCGTCATCACCAACATTTTACAAGTGTGGATGGTTTGTCGGGACTTGACAAATTTTGGCTGAAGCAGCAATTCTTCAAATGCACTGTCGACAAAATTTGTCCCAGGTGGAAACTAAACAAAATCAACTAAATAAATGAAACCATGATTAACATGTCAATCATGTGTGGTTAAAGCTGGGGCCAGCATGTAATTGAGCTGAAATCAGTGTACTAGAAAGACAAAAATTGTTTTTTGTTGCAAAATTCAAGGATTCTACAATTTTAAAAACTTGGAAATTGGTTGTGGAATCCTTTAGCAAACTATGCTGGCTGGTCTTATGAACAGATCAGGTACTGCCAAAATTTGATGGCTTTGAAATTTTTTAATGCAGATGCAACAGACAAAACAAAAATTTTTCATGGCAAAATTTGTTCTTTGATTTTCTTGGACAATTCTAGTTTTGTCCTCTAACTAGTGAGGAAAGGCCCCAACTCAGTGTCTAGTAAAAAAAACTTAAAGTAGGGAAAAGAAATAAAAGGAACAGAAATGGGAAAGAACCTTCTGTTTTAAACTTGAAGGAAAAGGTTGCTGCACACTGACAATCAAACTGTCTTAGATCTTTTTGTAATCAGGAAGAAAAAAAAAGACAGCAAAATTTTGAATTGACAAGACTAAAACAAACAAACAAGAATATTAAATAGGTTTTTTTTTTAAATTTCTGATGCATCTACAGTTGTATTAACTTTTAGCTCAGTTGAATGCAACCCAGTAGTTCTTAACTGAGGATAATAGAGTTGATGAAAGGGACCACCAAAGGAGACACAAACTCAGTTTAGCTGTATTCTGAGTGTTACATGACCTGCTTCCACCTAATGTTATATTGGTGGATCCAATTTATCCAATGCATCTACCAAGTATATACATTTTTTTTCCCTCTCTCTTATACCATCATTGCTAGGACAAAGATTTTCATCTGGCAGTAGCAGCTGACCTGTTGGGTATTGACAGAAGCCAGTTTAAAAAGTGGCTGTGTAACCGGAAGATTGTCACAGTACAGGAGGTGCTCATCAAACCACTGAATGTTGAGGAGGTCTGAGAAACACTTTTTTCAAAATCTCACTTTATGTTTCTGACTGAATTATAGAGAAATTTAATCAAGTAAATATGTGCCATTACATTGAAGGTAATAATTCTGTGGTTTTTGCTCCTATTTGTAGGCTGATTTTGGCAGAAAAGCAATTAGCAAACACATTTATTCTCAGCTGTTCAAGTGGATTGTACAATGCATCAATAATTCTCTCAGCAGTGGAGTCAAACAGCACTCGTTTCTTGGAATTCTTGACATTTATGGGTAAGGCCCAAGCTACAACCTTACATGCTTGAATGTATTTTATAGGGAATAATAGGTTTTTTAGGCAGAGTTGATCAATAAAAAGCAAAACACATGGGATTTTACAACAAAGAGAAGCTAGAAATGCTATTAAAAGTGAGTGGTTAGCCAAGTCAGCTCAGTCAGTTGAACAGTTTTACTGTTGAGGGCAGTGTTAGTTTGATGTGATGTTATTTATAACCAAAAACAATTAAACAAAAAAACTGGGTCATACATTATACATTGCATAAAGTGTAGCTATAGGTTCAACTTGCAGGATACATGTAGTTCAGAGCTGTGGCATGTACATGTTGTACAGGACACTTAGGTTTACCCTTTTCAATATCTCTTCCTCCCACTTTGTTAGAATGTGTTTTTTTTTTCCAGGTTTGAAACTTTTGAGGAGAACAGTTTTGAACAGTTCTGTATCAACTACGCCAATGAAAAACTCCAGCAGCAGTTCACGCAGGTAATCATCAGCATCATTAGATTTCTCGTTTCCAGTTTGAGTCACCTCTCTTACTTTTTCCTTATTGTGCTTCCACATGTAATGCTTGCTTAATTATTCATTCAGCATGTTTTCAAACTGGAGCAAGATGAATATGTGAAGGAAGAGATAGAGTGGTCATTCATCAACTTCTATGATAATCAGGCTTGTATTGATCTGATTGAAGCAAAACTGGGAATACTTGACTTGCTTGATGAAGAGTGTAAGGTGAGACAAACTGAGATATTATTTTGTTTGTGTGAGAAATGATCTAGATATAATGATGTAAAGGAGAAGAAGCAGGTGTCAGATAGAATCACCTAGGGTCATAGTATTTAGCTAATTTTTTTAAAAATCAAAATGGCTGCCAACTGCCAAAATTGCAAATGATGCCATGCCCCCAGCAATACCACACTCCATAATTTTAGCCATAGAGTGCTCTTTGGTTGAGTGTCAAAATATAAACAAGGAAGTACACCTGTAAACACAATAATCAATTGTAGCAAAGCAAAATATCTCAATGAGCAAGTGAACTCAAGGTTAAAACAAGCAAAGTACTTGATGTGCAGGAATGTGTGTGAGCAAGTTACGATTAGACTGCTCTTTTATCACATGTTATTTGCAGATGCCAAAAGGAGCTGACAGTTCATGGATCCAGAAACTGTACAAACATCACATGAAGAAGGAGCACTTCAGCAAGCCACGCCTGTCACAAACAGCCTTTATAGTGCATCATTTTGCTGATGATGTGGAGTATGAAATGAAAGGCTTTGTGGAGAAAAACCGAGATTCTGTTAATCAGGAACATCTAGCCATTCTTAAAGCTAGTGAGGTATGCAAGGAAATTGGAACTTGGAATGTTATAAAAGAAGCTCTTTAATTTTTAAACAAATTCTCCTCGTCAGCACCCTAGGAAATGTATAGAGAACAGTATGGAGAATATGCATACTGATGTTGGGGTTACGGATGTGAGTTAAATGCTCAAATGCTTAAACATAACAAGAGGTTTATTACACCAGTAAATTATTTTTTTGTCATCAATGAATAAAACTCTGAGGGTAAGGCAGTTAGTGGGCTAACTCCAGATTCCATGTACTGATGAAATATTTAATTTGACATCACATTGATAAATTGAGAGTTTTTGTATTTAAACTAAAGCCTTTCTGCAATAACATCTTTGAAATTCTGATCCTTGTTAAAATGAGGTAATTGCAGCACTGGCTATGATAATCTTACTCGTTATTAATCTATTTAGTGTTGAACAGCTCTAAATTCTAAACTGTTGAAATCTTTAAAAAATCTCTCTGAACCATATTTGTTCCTTGCACAGTATGAACTGGTGGCACAAGTTATTGATTGCACACATAATGTAAGTGAAAAAAAGGTATAAATCAAAATAAATTTTAAGATTAACATGATTTAGTCAGCTTAACCTAAATATTCAGTAAATGCTACCTTTAAACGTTTCTCAGTAGAACTAAAAATATAAGGAAAATGTTCGGAAAATCTGCTAAAATTCCGGGACATAACCTACGGTAAACCAGCAATACTCATAGTCGCCCCAGATTAATAAAGAATTGATAAATACTCGGTTTAATTGACCATACTGTCATCGCAGGAGACTTAACCTAGACGGCATTAGACCAAACTTCAATTTCGGTTGAAAGTAACGTAACGAGCTGTTGTTATGTTGTAGTATGAGATGGTTGGAGACTTATTCTCTGAGAATGAAGCTCACATGATGCCGCGTAAGCGATCAACTTCTAGAGCTGGAAAAAATGTCTCCAAATCCAAGCGGAGTGTTGGATCAGAGGTTTGTTACCTTATTCAGTCCTACCAGAGGTCAACAACTACTTTCTGACCAGAAGGGAATCTAAATCTAGTTTGTAGAATGTGTGAACAAATTGTGCACTTATTAGGGATGATTACTAAATAGTTATTTTTGGGCGATTTTGAGCCAGATATCCCGATTTGCTCGAGGCCATTGAACCACAAGAATCTGGCAATGTCAGTATGATTTCATAGTATCATTCGATTATGGGTTTTCATTATTTTTTACGGGAATCTCACCGAGGGAAGCTGATTCGCCATTTTCCATGCAAGAGCATGGACACAACTACGCATGAGTTGAATGTTATGAACAGTAAAACAAAACTTGACTGTATTACACAAGAGCAGACCATAAATTGTTGGCGGTTATTTTTAGGTTACATGATTGGCTGTCGGTCAATAAAAAGATAAAAATTGATTGCTAATAATTTTGTGAAGATGTCTATTTAGTAGTTTGGTAATTTGAAGAAGAATGCGGTGGACAAATCTTATGTTGCTTGCGAGGATAACCACATCGTTTTGCGACTTTTTTTCTAGTTTCGTGAATCGCTGTCGAAGCTTATGGCTACCCTGAACAGTACAGTGCCTCATTACATTCGCTGCATTAAACCCAATGACCGCAAAGCACCGTTCGAGTTTAACCCACAGAGAAGTATTCAGCAGCTCAGAGCTTGCGGAGTACTGGAAACTGTACGAATCAGTGCCGCGGGCTACCCCTCACGGTGGAGCTATGACGAGTTCTTTAACCGTTACCGCATGCTTCTGAAGTTTGAGGCTATTAACAGAAGAAAGCCACGAGCCTCGATAGAATTGATATTGAAGACGCACATAAAAGTAGGGGAAAATTGTAATCTTTCTAATGTGTTTGCCCGCACCCGAAGGTGATTGCTATCGCCCGATATGTTAAACTACGCCACTTTCCTGAATATGTGTCGGCTACAACTGAGGAATGTCTTTCTTGTTTTAACAATGAGAGGTACTGAGAGATGACCACTTAATAGTTGCTTTTTGCTACTCGTTAATCCAACAGATATTTGGGCTCTGCCTTGAACTAAAATTGCCTTTTATAACTGCTACTGATTTAGAAAAAACGTTGTTTATGCTTTTTTGATAACTTATTAAAGAGGCTTGGAGACCAAAATTCATTTCGACCGATCAGTTTTTCAAATCAACCTCAGTTTTATTCGCGCTGAGTGATGTGTAAACAAAAGACGTACGTTTTGGTCTTGTTAGTGGTATGTTAAAGGCAGTGTAAATCCTTTGACTTTATGAATGAACGCGGAAATTTGAGTTGTTGAAAAATTTTCTTTCCATGTTTGGTGTAGGACCCTGATAAGTTCCAGATGGGAAAAACGAAAATCTTCTTCCGTGCTGGCCAGGTAAGGTTGTTTGTAAATATATTGAGGTTACAAACTACAATACGGACTAAAATGTCTTTCTTTGTTATGACAAGAGAGTTACGAACGCTAATCGGCTTCTTCACGGGGTTGTGTCATAGTTACTGATAGTAAAGATTTGAAAAAAATGAGAAAGAAAAAACAAAAACAAAAAAACGAAAATCAAGTCAACCTAAATAGTGGACCAAAATTTAAGCCCAGCCTTTTAAATGCTATTTGGGTGCAACAGCTAACTGAGCAGCGAACCCGAAGATAAATGTTTGGTTATTTTGTCAAAGTTTTTCCTTGACTAGATTTTGAAACTGGGCTGAGGTTTAGAGCCATATGACCTCCACCACTGGTGCTAATAATTTATTGTATCATGAGAGGTGAAACTGATAATTGTCGATTAAGTCTTTCACTCTAAACATCTCGTTAGCAAATCTCATTACTGCCTGCAATACATTTTCCCACGATGTTAGTTTGAAGAATCAGGTTTTGGATCAATTAACGATCCCCTAATTGATGTTTTCCTCTATTCTTATCACTTGCTTGCTTTATATTGTATTAATAGTTTAGGGAAAATTCTGTCTTGGTTACCCTCGGGTGTCAAATGGTTTAAACCGTTAAAAGAAAGACATAAAAGAAAGAAAGACATGCGGCCTTAGTTTGCCTTTGCTGATTTGTAAACTACTGTTGTTTCATTTCAAAGACAGTTCAATGCCAATGTGTTTCACTTTTAGGTGGCTTATCTGGAAAAACTCAGATCAGACAAGCTTCGAGACAGTTGTATCATGATTCAGAAGAATTTCCGCTGCTGGAGGGAACACCGGCTCTACCTGAGAATGAGGCGGTCTGCGATCCTAATACAGGCCTGGGTACGAGGCTATCTGGCAAGGAGGTTTGTGTAGAAATGAGATTCCCGAAAGAAGTGTTTTAATTTACCAGAGGTTCGAGAATAGAGAAAATTCCACTGCTTCCTTGCGAAGCCAAAACTGAACATTTTCAAATGAGTTCAAGCTTCACATTCTTACACGGTCTGTCCAATTCAAATATTTTGAAAATTGGAACCCTATTTTGAACCTTCGGATTTTTACCTGAGGAGCAAATTTTTGAAGCGAATAAAGAAGATGGCTTTAGGATAGGTTATTCTGTGAATCAGGCCCTAAAGGTACTACTTAAAACAATTAACTCGAATTAAAACCCAATGATGTCACTTTCAAGCATATATCCATAATAGGAGATTTCTCCGCTACTGTCCTATCCCACGCCCCTTGTTGATTGTCTGGATCAATTGAAATCCAGAGTGATTCTTTTAAACTGACTTTATTGCTTTTCTTTTGCGAAAAGAAAACTTTGAGGGTTTTAACAACCCGCGCGTATAACCAAGTTGTGGGGCGGAGTTTACATTAGAATAGTAATACTGTTATATTGGAAATAGATCCATTGGAACAGCCTTTTAGGGAGCACATAGGAACTAGCATAATTGTCCCTAAATAAAGTTGCCGCCTCCTGAAGGTAACAAAAGGTAACCTTATTTTTAATTGCGTGTCCCAGAAAAGTGGTCTCCGAAACAAGCTGTTCCAAACGTCAAACATATTTACCCTGCTTTTGTCTCATTTCGACACTTTAGTGACTGGCATAGTAGCTCAGAGTAGTAACTCCAATGAGGCAGGAATTCGTTTTGTTTTTTTCTTTAAGACTTGCACAGGATCTCAGAGAAAAGAGAGCTGCGATTACCATCCAGCGCTACTACCGTGGTTTTGTCTGCCGAAAGCAGTTTGTGACCATTCGGGCGGCCGTCGTTATAATCCAGTGCTTCACGCGGGGTATGTTCGCAAGAAGACTTCGCATGCAATTATTGTACGAAGCTAAAACGAAGATCATTCAGCGGTGCTGGCGAAGATACAGAGCGAGAGAGAATTACAGAAATTACAAAAAGACGATTGTTTACCTTCAGTCTTGTGTGCGCAGGATGATTGCTAGACGAGAACTGAAGCAGCTTAAGGTAATTCATGTTGAAATGAGAGGAAATTTGGAAATCAGTATTTTTTTTTCGTAATCTGTTTGTCTCAAATTTGTGTGCGCACAAGTAGTTGCTGTTTAAAGACGACAACACGAAAAGAAAAAAGATGTGTAGTTTTGCAGAGGTCGTGCCATAGAAGTTGTGACTAGTTAATGCAGTTGGAATTACTTGGAAAGCTAAATGGCCTAGGAGAATTTAGCCATTTTGATATCACAACTTTGGTGATCATTAAAGCGCTACCCGGGTACATTTACACATTCCGTGATACTTGCGCGTGAAAGATGAAGCTGTGACCTTCAACGGTCGCCAGCAGCGGAAGCAAATCTCATACATACTGCACAAGTCCACTTGCTTCTTAGTTTTCTGTGGAACGTTAGTCTTTTGTTCCAGTGACAGAAAGGAAGAGAACAAATTTTACTTTTTTGTGTTCAGTGAGAGAAATTTTGTTACAAACGTTTTTTTTTTCTTTAGATCGAAGCGCGCTCTGTGGAACATTATAAGAAGTTGAACATAGGAATGGAAAACAAGATCATTCACTTACAGCAACGACTTGATGAACAGGTATTTATTTTTTATTTGTTTGGTTTGTTGATTACCTGCCTGCCTCTCGTCCATGTAGTGATCTCAAACTTTTGCAAACTCAGAGAGAAGTGTCTGCTTTTGAAGATTGTGTAAAAATTTATAATTAAATAATTATGGAATCGGTTTTCGCATGATATCAAGTATTATCAAACCTCGTGTCTGTGTTATCAGACCTCGGCATTGATAATTCATGGTATCATGCTCAACCGCATACAATAAGGGCTTACAATCATACCTAGCTAAGATATTTGTTATTATCCCTAATTTCTTAAATAAATGATTGAGTTATTCATTACCATGATTTGATATACTTTACCGTTTGTTCCTTTTTATAGGTTAAAGAAAAAGAACAAGCAATGGTTGCCGGGCGAGAACTTGAAGCTACGCGGAAAGAACTGGAACACGCCAAGCAGTGGAAAGGACAGTTTGAATCGACACAATCCAAAATGCTGGAGTTGGAACTTGTCATCAAGGAACTGCGAGAGGAACTGAACATGGCCATTGTGGAGAAAGATGGCACCGAGGAACGCGCCAAAACAGAAAAGGAGGAGCTAGAAGAGGTTTGAATTTGTATAATAATTTAACTTAACTTTGAAATGTTCAGCGCATATTGAGGGGAAATCTGTCTCACAAGAAATTAGAGAGTTTTAGATTTATGTTTGTTTGTGAAGACGTGTGACCGCAAAGCTCTAGGAGTCATGTGACCAGGCTCTAGCGGCCACGTTTGCCGTTTGTGGTCCACGTTTGAATTTCGGGCAAGGCAGTTTCAGGAAGTTGTACTTCCTCGGCGCTCTCCGTCTTCGTGTTCGAAAGTTCTCACATATGTCCGGTAAATATGTGTTAGATGAGGTCTTTTTTTTTTCTTTTTTTCTGAAAAACCAAACGTTTAGCCGCATTTTGTGTTTGAGGTGAAGGAACTCTATTCAGTCTGTAATTCAAGATGGCGGCGCACATGTTGATTTTCATGGATTTTTATAGTTGAAAGCCGAAGGCGTGATTAAAAGCTGAAAATCTCAAAACATTTGACTACCAACCTCAAACCACTAACTACGGTTTGAGATGAACATATCAAACGTGGATTTAATACTCTCTCTACTTATTTGTAACGCTGTCACTTACATATTTGAATTTGTGCATTTGTTATAGATAAACAAGAAATTGAAAGAAAAATTGGCAAACCTAACGGAAGAGCTTGCTGAAGCAAAGGCAATTTCCGACAGAGAAGTCTCTCTCAGGGATGGTATGTACTTGAACGAATCGAAAATAACTTTGTCTTGAAGTACTCAGAAAATTCGCAGAAAAAGAAAAGGGGTGAAGTGAGGGTAGTGGAAACAGATTGCAAGTCGAGCTACTAGTCAGTCAAATCATGCTCTTCTTCATATATGTTTGCCACCTCTATCTGTTATTTGAAAACCAGTTTTGTAGTCTAAAAGACAAAAAAAAATTCCTAGCAGCGTGAGTTTTTCGGTGGTGGCTTGGTGCTAAACTACAGGATCGCAAACAAATGACTCAATTCAAACTTAGCATGATTATAAACCCCAATTCACGAAAAGAAAACCCTCTGACTACTCGATTGTGGTCCAAGAGTTAAACTTGAAACTTTTGAGACACAAATACAGCCGGTGGTCAAACGAGGACTGTAAGTAAGGACTTCTTGGGTCTCAGTCACTGACTTCTGGGTTCAGTCAGTCTTCCGGAAGCTAGCGATCAGATACGAGAAAACCATCCTTACACCGAAACTTTCAACAGAAGTCAAGTTTCCTCTGGCTTTGTATTAATTTGTTTGTAGTTGCATACCCTAATTTTATTAAAGGGGATAACTTTCTAAAGAAACTGTGGTACTGTTTCGGTGGGGCATTACAAGATAATGTGGTTTGATCAATTGGGTTGAAAATGTAACTTGGCTACCGTCAAGAGTTTCTAAAGCTGACTTATCGCGTGTTTTCGAGTGTTGGCCATTTCAGTTTGTCGTTTTTAAAACCTTTTACCAGAAATAATCTTTCATTTTCTCGTTGCCTTTAGAAATCATTAACCAAAGCCTTGAAGCCCAGAGACAACAACTTCTGGCGGAATTTGAAGCTGAAAGAAGCAACCACCAGAGAGTTTTACGAGATTACGACCGACTGGAACAACGCTATCAGAATTTGCAGGATGAAGTAGAGATTGAAAAATTCAGTCCGGTTGCTAAAAGAGAGTCTAATGGCCTTATAAGTGCTAGTGGTTCAGGTGCGTTATTTTGGATGTATTATATGATATTAGCAT